GGCATTCCTTTGCGCCTTTTCCTTACAGTTCCGCATGCATTTGTGAAGTTGTTATATAATAAATTGAACAAGGCTGGACTGGAATACCAGTTATCTACGAACAGGGTATGGCCTTTTCCTAAGTAGGGCTTCATAAGTGTTTCTACTATTGCCCCCGATTTACCAATTTCCTTATTTTCGCTATTGACTTTTGTCGATGATCCGGCATACACAATAATATCTTGCACAAACCCTGTTCGGCAATCACTAAGTATGAACGATTTAATGCCGAATCTACTTCTTTTCGAAGGAATATATTGTTTAAAGGATAGTCGTCCTTTATACAAAAGCAAACTCTCGTCAATACATAATTTTTTATACGGATAGAATGATTCGCTAAATGCTTTTCGGAGCATATCAATGATGTTCCTTATATTATATATCCGATCATTGGATGCTCTAACATCATGGCTGAAATGTGGCATCTCTAACAGTTTCAAATATCGATCTCTAGCCATAATTTCTCCGAAGATATCACTACGCAGAAGTATGTCTTTACTCCAATATTCCACCAGGGATAATTTCTTATTACGTGTCATAAGAAATGAAATAGCGAAAAAACAGTACAATTCGGATACTGTTGTTCCGTTTACATCCTTCATATTGTTGTTTTCTTTTTTTGACCAATAATCATTCGTTTCATGTGCAATTAATTGTACGAATTCTTCTGAGACAAAAAGTTCAAAATAATCAATGATTTTTGCCGATCTGCTGATATTTGGTATAATCCCTGGATGTTTTGCCGTAAACGGATGTATTTTAGGAACGAAAGTTTTTGAAGTCCATGTGTCGCAGTGGTCGTCATTGTCTTCGTCATCATTTTCTATTTCTGAGTGTGAGGTATCACATATAGTCCTTTTTTTTCTCTGCACAATGAAATTGTTTTCGTTTTCATTTTCGGAATCGTACTCTGTTTCAGTCAATCCATTGGAAAATAGATTTCTCTTTGAATTCCACCGTGACATTCTAACAAGGGCGCAAAAAACATTATATAAAACAAATTTTTAACAAAGCTTCAAACAGAATGTTCAAATATGATCAAATGTTTATCGAATGTTTCTGACCTGAAAATTGACCTCAAAACTGTAAAATTGCACACTAATCTTTCCAATTTCTCTCGCTTTCTTTGAATTACTTGTAACTGTTCAAGAGGGATTTTGTACTATAATCCTGGTTTCATATAATCGCGTCTTGTATCGTACAAATATTCCACTATCAAGTAGAAAAAAACGAAAGCTTCTTTCGTATGTAGAATCTGTTTCTATTAGGATTTAATCCAATACGGGTCAATAGAATCAAGAGATACTCTGTCGGTACAGTACATTTCTTTTTACCAGCGTGAGTCGGCACAGGTCGTCGCGCGGCCGCCGCCTATAGGCGGCACCCGTACACACAGGTCGTCGCGCGGCCGCCGCCTATAGTCGGCACCCGTACACACAGGACGTCGCGCGGCCGCCGCCTATAGGCGGCACCCGTAATGAAAGGGTTAATAACAAGCCGAATCGAGCTGAATGCATCCGAAGCTAACCGACGTACCTCTAACAACCGCTGCCTTTTCCCCTCCAATCCTATGCTCCCCACGCCCAAAATATATGTCTATGGCTCGGGCCGTCCGCCATATAATAACTCGACCGAACCGCGGTAGGTTGGTTATGGAACGCATATCAGTCTTCTCCGATCCATTCGTTCCATATAAAAGTGTACAATATTTTCATTGAAATTAAATCATAATAATAAATGTGAATGTATTCTGTTCTTACCAGCATACGGAATCAGTTGATATTCTGACACCGCTGATAAAGACGTCGAGGGAACAACAACAACTGCCTCAACTGTCCGTTCAATGTTATGTGTCCTCGCTAGATGCCGTATCAGCGCCAACGTCGCATTCGTTGCGAACACTTTTTTGCATACGATGCATTCAGCACGACTTCTTTCCAAGTCAGTATTAATGAGCTTCGCGTACGCCCACGCCCAAGAACGTCTTCCTGACATCTAAGAAATTATAATTGGAAATTATGCACCATAATATTTTCACACATCCTGCTTCCTTCATTGCACACATGAATTTATAATATTTTACTCACCTTAATAATACGAAATGTGCGGTAATTATCACCAAACTGCACACAGCACCGTTCAAACGCTATAACATTGAAGAAAATAACGAATGATTAACACAGTGATAGTAATAACATTACGAATTGCGATCAGAAAAGCATACATATGTTTTATATTCTATAGTACTTCCATGTATAATAAGGAATGTTAAACTATAATTGAATAGTGTAATCAATAAGGTAATAGCGCGGATGTATATAATCTGGAACTGACGCACTGGTCACTGCAGTTACCGAAGTGGTAAAAAATGTTTATTCGGTGGGTTTTGTAACGTAAGCTCGTAAACAAAACCAGGCGTAGATGCTTACTAGGGGTGTGCGGGTACCCGAAATTTCGGGAATCCGAGCGTCGGGTCGGGTCGAGCAACGGTCTGGTCGGGTCGGGTCGAGATCCCGAAAGTTTGTAAAGTTCGGGTACTCGAAGTTCAAGTCGGGTCGGGTCGGGATCCCGAAAATTTGGAGATTTTCGAATTTATCGGGATTCCCGACAAAGTAGAGATTCTCGAATTTATCAGGATTCTCGAAAGAGTCGGGATTCACGAAATAATCGGGATATCAGAAGTGTGCATGTTATAATTCTCAATTGAATAATTGAGCTTCAAGATGTGATAAAGGAAACGATTACGTTGGAATGTGCTAAAGCTGTACAGTAGCTTTATGAGCGAATGTTGCACTATGATGTATGAGCAAGATGAAAGCCGAAGGTCGATAAAAATAACAGTTTACCGAGGATATATTTATTATTCAGATCAAATGCGTACTGTCTCATTGAAATATCCCTAGGGTCAATAACCGTTTCCTGTCTTTGTTTTACGAGGTATTCTCAAATCTTCGCTATCTGGGGAACATTGGAGTTGAGCCTGTAGACGCTCTTATCCCTCGGTAGTTTACCGAGTTTCTTTAGGAGGACCAACCTACCCCGCCTCCATCCCCTCAGGCACTGTCCGTGCTCAATATTATGATTCATTATCTTGTCAATGTCGTCTTTAAAGTTGGATATCACTACTCTCAAAAGCTTACCGGGGATCAATCCGATCCCACGGTTTTCCCGGAGTATGAGGTTTTCAGAGCCCTGGTATATGAAGTACATGAGGTGAAGAACTTCGTGATTAGCAGGTTCACGATGACTCTCCGTGTATTCTTCTTTCTTGATAGAAAGCTCTCCTATGGAGGGGGAGGACATTTTGGCAAGTGGGGCCTCCTCCTAGGGTCACGATTTAGGTCTTCATAGAAGATGCGCCAAACTTGATGCTTGGACTTAAGGATCATACTCTTCAAGTTTCTCCTGGCATCGTGAAAGTTGTTTTCTAAAGACTCAGTGTACGGGCAGTGTCTCCATTTTCTCCTGACCCTTGTCAGCTTTCTCCTGGCCTTATTAGTTTTTTCTCTGACAGTCTTAATCTCTCTGGACCTCCACCAGTTTTTCCTTACACTTCTATTCGCGTTGATTCTCGGGTGGAGGGATGTCTTCGTCAATTCCATGAGTGCATTATGATATTCACTGATCTTAGTGGTGTCGAGGGCTCCCTGTAAAAGATCCAAAAGCCTACTTGCACGGGAGGTGTCCACAATCCTATCAGTGTCCACGTTCTTGGCTGAGAAGCCCAAAGAGAACGTCCTAGAAGAGGGAATGGGGGAGTCACCAATCACATGGACAATGTAAAGATGGTCGAAGACCGACCATGTACCAGCCATAAGTTTGGTTTGCGTAACCCTACAAGCTCTAAATGCGTCTGATATGAATACATCGATAAGGGAGTTGCTGTACCCGTTTCTCTCAAACGAACATGTACCCTCAGGAAGGCCAGGAACTAAGGCTCTCCTACCAATAAGGGCCAGAAGTGTTGCGCCCCTATTAGAGTGTTCAACGCCTAAAAATTGTTTCACTTTTCAATCAGCGTTTCTGATAAATCTTCATACGCTGAATACGAATCTGCAAACCGTTTCTTTCCAGCACATCCAGTTATTGAAAAAATCTATTTGAAAAAAATGTCAAATTTTCAACTTTGGAGCTGTGTTGTGCTCTTACAGTAATAGTTATTCAGTTTCTTTTTACACGCATTAATTCTCTAGACTCTTGCGAACAAAATGATATAAGTTGTTATTAGATTATAGACATCTAAATATGTTTAAGTAATGTTCAAAGTGAAAATCACTCCTAAATGCACCACTTTTTGCTGATATTCTATAATTTATTTCAAAACCTAGAGGTCTAGGAGAAAATCTAACCATAGCATGCAATAGAGTAGAACTTTCTGCTGCAGGAGGTGTAAAGTGTAGGAACAACAGAGAACAAAGTTTCATTAAAAAAATGAAACGTGCTACCTTTCATAGCACACGTCAAGTAAACCTCGACAAGTTAAACCATGTACAGGGTGTCGGACAAGAACAAAACTCCAAAGGAAGTTGTTCAAAGAATACTTTATGTACAATTGAAACAATTTTTTCCACTAATTCCATCGAAAAAAAATTAAATCTTTTGCGTGGAGTCTAAACAAATTTCAGGTGTGTTGCCAAAGAATTGAAAATTTGCATGCGTGGAGACATTGTATTGTACAAGTAGCGGCACAGATTACTCCAGGAATGTTGGAAACTGTTTTCTTGTATGCTGAATTGAAGAAATTGTTTGAATTGTGCATTGAAATATTCCTTTAATAACATCCTCTTGGAGTTTGATCTTTGTTCAACAATTTATATAAAATATATAAAGGCTTTGTGGACATCCTGTATAAATACAAGAAATCTAAAAAAACTTAAGTTCCCCTTTTTTACGAGTACAATGGACTCTAACTATATTGCCACGCGAGGCACTTCCCCTTCACACGTACTTTCGATCACAGAAATTTGCTCTCCCACCACGTTGCGTACGCCGGCGCACCAGCACGATCTATCTTCTGCGCAGGCGTTGAGGCCGAGACTATAACGATAGAACTTACCATGGAAGGGACTCTGAGCTCATTGCCATTTTACTCTCCTATAGCCCCGACCATGGCAATATAAGTAGAGTCCACTGTATTATTTACTTCATACCTATAAACTGTTTATATAAATTTTGATATATTTTTATTGTATTTCTAGGCATATGAACGTAGGTTTCCAACATGTCCGCAAATTCCCGTTTTTGTTGGTTGCGAGATAGTTTCAGACGAGGAGAGTGATAACGGTGCTATTCGAATAACGGAACGAAGATGCAAACTCAATGTAGATGCGCCATATATCTTGAAAAAGGTATGTCTTAAGAGTAGCCAAGATGTTCGTACAACAATTTTAAAAATTAGTTGATACTGTAATTTACTTGGTTATGCCTACCTGCAAGCTCGAAAAAGACATGTACTTTTGGAATGTATTTTTAAAAAACTTGAAGACTTTTTTAAACATACATCATTGTATTCGAAAGTATACATTTTAAAGTGCTTATAATAATTTCTTCAATGCAAAATATGAATAAATAGGGGAAATATCAGCGATCTCCCGGCGGTGTTTTTATTTTAGACGTTTTGCGATGACCACTGTAACTTCGTGTTCGTTTATCTAAAATAAAAAATCCGAGCAAATTTAGTTAATATATTAAATTATCTACTGCCCAATCGTTCATTATCCTGAAAAATTAATTTACGACAAAATGGCGGCTGTTCAAAATCGAACTATCGATGTTTGCTAAAAAAAATCGTTCAATTTTGATCTATAAAATAAAAACTACGCAATGAAATACAAAAAGCCACGATCAGCACTAGATTTCTATGTATAGAATGAGTCTACCAAAGCTGAATCAGTTCGATGCAGCGGTTCTGGAGATATTTTGATCACCGATTTTGAAAATGTGGTTTTGAGAAAAACACGTTTAAAGTTTCAAGTCAGGTTTACAACCGAATCAATGCAAGTTTTTTATATATAGTTATTCTTAGTATTACGGCTTCATATAGCTTTGTGTATTTACTAACACAACCATACAGTACATTGGGACACAGTATTCATGACTTATGCACCCCTAGAAAGAGATTCTACCACTTTATATCTGCCCCAAAATATTAACTTCTATTTAAAAAATTGAAGACGTGCTTGAAATTTCGAAATGCTAATGATGGAAAGAAATTGAATAATAAACATAATAATCACTATGGGACCCCGTTCGAACCATACAGATTTCATCTGTAGCAATTTTCGTCCAAATTATTGCATTGGGAGTTATCGTAGTGATTTCACTTACATATAAGGTGTCCTCGCTAACAACATATACAGTAGACATTCGTTTCCCGCACTAGTCGGGGCTGTAGCGGGCCAGAATTCCAGGAACCGTACAGGAATCGGACACCAGTCCAGTGATGCCAGAATCGTGGTACTGTGTTGCTAAGTTATGTTTATTCCAGAAGGAAAAATCAAGCATTATCAGTCCAAACATTAGTAAAATAGAATATACATTTGAATAGTAATAAACACTACGCATACAGAGAACATTGCACTGACTACAGTTCTAATAATACAAAGAACAACTGGACGCTTCTCATGGCGTAGTACACACTTGAACAAAAAAAACCTACATAGTCATGAAAACATACATAAATAAAATAATTACTCCTCAACACTCCTCCTTCATTATTTTACAACGCAAATTTGCAAATATCTTACGGGCTAATGGTTTGGTCAATATATCGGCTAATTGTTCAGAACTTCTGACATTTTCTAACTTCACAGTTTCTCCAATATGTTCCTGTATAAACTTTCTCGGAATGTCAATATGTTTCTTCCCGTGCGTTATCTTCCCTTTACTGGTGCTTTGTAGCATATGTACAGCAGACTGGTTATCAATGCATAGTGTGGTGGGTTCACTCAAGTTCAAGAAGTTTAGTTCGTTTGCGATACGTCGTATCCAGCATATGTCATCAATTTACGAAACAGCTGCTCGATACTCAGCCTCAGAAGTTGAAGTTAACATGACGTTGCTTTTTGGTATACCATACAATTGGACCTCCTCTGATAACAAGAACACCAGTAGTGGAATATCAAGTGAATTTATCACCTCCATAATCCGAGTCAGTATAGGCAATAAGTCTCGTGTCACCATCGAAAAATATTCCATAACTATCTGTTCCTTTCAAGTATTGGAACACACGTTTAATCATCTTCCAATGACTTACCATAGGTTTACCATTAAAACGACTTAGATAATTCACCACATAGCTGATATCTGGACGAGATATCACAGACAAGTACAACAGACTTCCAATAGCTTCACGATAAGGTTCTGACTTGTTCAGTGGTTTGTCATTTACATAATTCTCTTCATCAGTTACCATACCACGCTCCATGGGTGTGGGCGTCGTATTCAACATATAAAATTTGAAGTGTTTGAGAATTTTCTTGATGTATTTAGACTGATTAACAAAAATTCCAGATTGACCATTTTGTATTTCCATACCAAGATATGACAGTTTTCCTTGACGAGCGGTATCATAAGTGACCTCAAATTTATGATTTAGTGCCTTCAGAATTTCAATCATGGCATCCACATTGGTACCTGCAAGCAGTCCATCATCTACAAATAAAACAATAATCAGACTTCTATCTCTATTATAGTAAACACATGGGTCGTCATCCGTATTGACGAATTCTAAAGATTCAAGAAATTTTGAAAAGTTCTCATTCCAATTCTTCGGTGCCTGTTTCAGTCCATAAATACTTTTGTTCAATTTGCATACACGACCTGTACCGTCATCAAATCCTTCCGGCTGAT